GTCGTCAAGTAGATGAAGAATGAAGCTCATATTCAAGCTATTTCATGTGAAAATGTATTAAAAGTTGTTGGATACAGCACTTATTGTGCAACTGTACTGTTGAAATAAGTGCTAGGAAATTTCATCATTATACACTAGGTGGATTATGGAAAACAGTCAGAGTGGAGTGGTGTGCCTTGGACATGACAACCTTATGGCAGAGTCTTTTGTAATGTTGCAGAGCTATTGTAAAGGTGCAGTTATTGGTAGACCATGTCCAGACATGTCAACATGGACTTAACTTACATGGTGATATTTTATAATTGTTTTAATATAACATACTCAACCTTCTGTATAAGTAAGTACAAGAAACTCAAACCATATAATAACACAGACGTTCTAATGCTTGAACCAAGGAGAGAAAACGTTTACTAGTCATGGTTATTTGGTAATCTATAATAATAGTAAACAATATATGTTCTGTCTTACAGGAGGTAAAATGCTGGAGGAGGAGAAAATAGAGATGGAGAGACTAAAAACAAGACTTGCAGAGGAACAAACTAAATCTCGCCATTTTGGTGCAATGCTAGAAAACAGAGAAAGAGAACTGGGCAAGGTAAAATTCAGCTATTTCAATATTTAGAGATGAATTTAAGAAAATTTAATTTAGTTTCAGTTCATCTCTGCTATGAAAACCAATACATTTACTTTTCCTATTGGTTGAAAATCACTTACTTAAACTAGTATTTAACTATTTAACTAGTACTTATATTTTATGTGAATAAATACATGGGTTGTTAAAGAGAAAGACAAGCAGCAAGAAAAATAAACACAAGATAAATAGCCATAAAAATTAACAGATATGAATAGTTTGGTAATGACAGTAACATGGAGATATATTATTAATGTATTATATATTAACACTGCTACAAATTCACATTAAGAACAGTAAATTTAGTTAATTTAAAAATTCTCTTTGGGAAAGTTAATTGTAATATATCTTCATATTACTGATATATATATATATATATATATATATATAATCTATAATGAATCTTTTGTTCTACACGAAAAAGAACTGAAGCATTAATACCAGGATTCTTTTAAAAAAAGGATTATTCATTAGACATTTGCAAGTTCAACATAATATACTTGCAATTTAAAAATGCTGAGCTTGAATTTCTACACATGACTCAACTGAGCTTCAAACTTTTAAATCAACAATATAACCTTGACTCAAGAAGTTAAGAAAAAAGAACTAGAAAGAAAGAAACCCAAATTTTGTATATTGTCACAGAATCTGATACAACACTTACACTTACTAATTGTAACACATAATTATAACAAAATTTGCTTAATAATACAACACTTATAAACTTTCTGCTTCATTATAATTCACAAACTTATAAGCTCTCACCAAGTTTCTAGCAATATCCAATCTTTAACTCCATGTTCTCAATCATTTGATTTATGCAGTATAAGTTCTCTTCTCTTTTATTTAATTTGCTGCCAGACAATGAGGTTATAATTAAATGCAGTATGATTATTGGCTATTGGAAAAACATCTGATCAGTTTAGTTAAAGACTGGTTTGTGTATGAAAGTAGTTAACAAATGGTGACAAAGGCCTCAGCACTGTTCAGTGTCAGTCATCTTGTCTCACTGTGAGAGTAGTGTTATAATGAACTCTAATGGGATATGAATTAGCATCAATAAGCAAACTCAAATGACACCTATATCAAACAACAGAGATATAGATAAATTAAATTTAAACAGAATAATTAACAAAAATGAAGGAATACTACCTTGCAGATTTAACTCATGATAAAACCTGACTGATGAGAAGCACAAAATTTGAATATTACATAAATTTTTCTTACAGTAGCCTTTTCTAATAGCACTTGTAAACCAGAATATTTTTCTTGTGTTATTACTTTCTCAAACTTCATTATATTGTAAGTTTGTTTCAAAGGAATTATTTCAATTTTCTAATGCATTTTTGTAAAGTATAATTAATTTTTAATGAATCTAGATAGAACAGCTGTCATTTTTGCAAGTGGTATACTGTTTTTTTTTTCTCTAAATCATTTTATACACTTACTTGTAAACTTAACTGTAACTCATAAATGTCACTGTTTTCCAACTTGTGCATGGACATGGGCTCTTATTCAGAAGATGTTTGCAAACTGACTTTTATGAAAACAAAAGATTTCCTTCAACATTCTTTTAGACCTCATCACACAATAAAAAAATCTGTACTAAAGTATTAAACTGGATTAAATTTAAAAAATACTTATACAGCTCAGCATTTGGGTTTATTTGTTTCAAGTCATTCTATTTATTTCATGTTAATAATGAAAAATATACTTTTGAATTTCATCTTAGATTTATGGTATGGATAGAGCCCTTTAATATGTTGTATTCAGTCAGTATCATTTTTATAAGTGCAATCAGAAGGCATGTTGGTTTAGAAAAAACAAAATCAAAACTTTTTAAATTCAGATTTGTAGTATTAGTTTTGTTTAAGCATAAATAGATCAGTTATATTGGATAAATGATGTTAATTATATTAATTAGTAAATAGTTCAGCCGATGTTTATTAAGATAATCTAATAATAAAAATGGGTTAATTTTTCAAGTAGAGTAATCCCGAAACATTTAAAGCCATACTAAGTTGATGTGTTAACATTATATTTATACATAGTGTTGCATCAGCGAGGTCACGTGACTAGTGTCACGCCACGTTTCTAGAAGTATCTTGTTCCTTAGTGAATGCCGTAGCATTTACTAGATATAGGGTAGTCTGGTATATATAAGATGGTCACGGCGTGATGTGACAATAATGTGTGTAGACAGTGAGCAATTGATCTGCAGTCAGAGAGTATTGTTGAAGTTGAGCATGTTCGTTGTTATAGCGTTTGTTTTAGTGCGATTGTTGAAATTAAGTGTATCGTAAAGTTATATTCGGAAAGAATAAACCAGTTTTATTAAGTAAGGACTTGTGTCGCTAAAGTTTCGTCGGAACGAATTTACGGGAAATCAATTAACAAACGGAGACGTAACAATAGTTTTAAACATATTCTAAACCACCTAAGAGTTCCTGTTAACAAAAAAATTATCTTACTGTATGGAATGTGTGTGTGTGTGTGTGTGTATTTCATTAATGGTTGAAAATTATCTTCAAATTACACCTTTATTAAAGGCAACATTATAAATACCATTTATTAGTTTAGTTTGATAGCATGGATAATTTGCAAGAGATGGCACATAAATCCACAAAAGTACTTTATTGCTAGTCTAGTACATTTGTGTCTCAGATTGATATCATGTATTATTATGTGATTATAAAAGGAAATAAATATGTTGCTAAAAACACCTCTTAATCTTTTGGCTGACTCGTTTGAATTGTTAATAAATACTTTCATAAAAGTAAATGTGTCATAAGAAATAGAACTACTGGAAATGTATGCCCAAGTATGCATTCATAATGTTTAATCAAAATTCTGTGGTTATTTAACAAAAGTAGTGTGTGGTCCTTATGTTTCTGTGACATATTCTTGTCAGCTGATTTCTCTTCATGACTTTCAAGAAGCATGCGAGTTCTTATTGACTGACAAATACTGATGTTACCAAGATGTATGTTAACCTATACAATCATTTCAAATATGCAAATTAATGTAAAACTACACATTCTCCATGAGATCCAATTATCGACTTTCTAAACCATCTGCAGTGACTGTCATTTATAATTTCATTTGTTATCACACCTTGTTATTATATTCACATTTATTTAATATTAATCAATTATAATATTTGTCATGCATCTTTCGAAAGGTATGCAGCTATTACTTTGAACCCTTTTGTGGAATCTGATAAAAACCTGGGATGAGAGATTTAAAATACTTTGTAATACTTGTGTAATACTTAAAACTTAGTTTTTTTTATCTTCAAGTTGGTTTTAACTTTACTTGATTTATTTTGAATGTAAAAGTATAGAGTTAAAAAATGTGGCTCAAAGGGAATTGGTGACCAATTTATTGTGAATCAATTTTTATAAGGAATCAAACATATTAAATTGATGAGATAGACTGAGTTAGGCAAGCTTCAAATATAGTTTAAATTCTATAAGCTTGTATTAGTGTTGAGAAAACAAAGCATTTTTGTGTCAATAGAGTATAAGATATAGTTTTTCTTCTAAAAATATAAATTAAAATAGTTGCAAATACATCTAGTATTATTTTTCTTTCTAATTTGTTCTTAGATATATCAAAGAAATAATGTAGAAGATTTAACTTGTAATATTACTATTTAATGATAACACATTTTCTGAATGAAAATGTACTACACACATTAGTAGAAAATCAAGGAAGTTTCTTGAAGTTAAGGTCTAAGATGTTTAGATCCTACTAGTTTATGTAGATTAGTTTTTCTGTGATAAATAATTATCACTAATGTGACTTCCTAATAATTTGTTCTTCAATTCTAACTTTGTATTGGATGGAAGATAGAAAAATTTTAGGTGCAAATCACTAGTAACTTTTTTTTTTAATCCAAAACAAGAGGGAATCCTCAATAGCTGTGACACTTGAAATTCTTCTGGGCAGGATAAGAGTAAATTAATCTATGAGACCTTGGGCTTGGTTAAATAAATCAATTGAAAGGGTTGGGCGTCCTGAGTCCAAAACTGTAATTAGATCTCAAATTGGTCAAGAGATGACGAGGCTATGAGATAAAAGGTTGTACTTGAAAAACTCAGAGCCATTCTATGAGCAGCTAAAAAAACTAGTGTTTTGGAAACAAGACTATTTTAGACTATGTGTCCGAAATTTGGATTTGGTTTTGAACTGTCCTGAATATTTATCAATGTTTTTTGGAAGTTATCTGAAATAAGTATCTTAAAACTCTTAATCATTGACTTTTCTCAAAAGTTTTACTATTATTACTATTGCCTATTTCAGCTTGGTTTTGTCTTCAGTTTTATTTTTATTTCAAGTGTACAAGTTTCTGAGTTTCTACAATATTCTCAAATGAAACATTTTCTGGATGGATGTGTTTTATAAGGACTAGATATCTAAAAGTCTTCCATCATAGGTAGGGATTGGTATTTCTAGTATTTTTTTGCTATCAAAATTAAATATGGAACATAAATCATCTCTGCCCTGCTATTAAGTGTTGAATAATTTTATATAGATGGACACAAAGAACAATTTTTTTTAAATAAAATAATCTAGTTGCATCATTTTTGTTCAAAGCATTTCTCTGGTAAACATATTTCATAGTTTAATTGCGTGGATAATATATTTTCAAAATAACTATTATCATTTGTAATTTAAAAGATATATTTGATTTGATATTTTTTATTTATGTGCTGATAAGATGTTTTTATACTTATTCAAATATTTACCTTATTATCAAAATTGGGAACAAGCTTTTACAGTTTGTATTATTTGCAAAATCAACTGATTTTTGATCTTTTATATAAAGTAAAATTTTGCTTTTTAGCAGTATTATTGCATTTCTATAGTATACTGGTGTGGCTGACCTAGATATGATTGCCTTATAGTTTTCACAAAATATATTTTTATATCCTTGACTATCTCTCAAGTTAGTTCTAACTAACTTAACGATTCTTTTTGGAATAACATATTTATAATCTACATTTGAATGTGCTAGAAAAAAACTATATGCAAGCTATATTTTTAATGTTTTAATTTGTTAGCTAGAGGGCACAGAACACCAAGAAAGCTTGCATCAATATATTTAGTTTGATTTTTATTTATATGTTCATAAGATTTTTATATTTAGTCATACATTTATTATTAAAATTGAGCACAACCTTGTATATTTTATATTATTTGAAAAATCAGCTGATTCCTGATCTTTTATAAAAAAATTAATTTTGTTTTCTCAAAAGCATCATTTAATTTTTGTAGTATACTGGTGGCACTGACCTAGACATGATTGCTTTATGGTGTTCATAAAATATCTTTTTCTTCTAGATATAATTGTTAAAGAATAGTTCATGATACTAATAAACATTGAATACGTATTGAAATGTGGTAAGTCACGTTAAAACAAACCTGACAGGTGGATCTGGCTCTATTCCTGAAAAAGAGAGGTCCACCTGTTGTAAGTGCTAGGGATATTTTGGTGTTTAATTTGCTAAAGAATAGTTTGTCTAACAGTGTTGTAGAATATACCACTGGGACATAATATCTATATTAAAACTCATATCTTAATTGCTTGTGACAACCTGTTTTTGATTGAAGTTAGTTCCACAGATTGAGGAGCTAAGAATTGAGCTAAATCGTCGAGATCAAGAGATTCTGGGAATGGGAGCCAAGATGCGAACATTAGAAGAACAGCATCAAGACTATCAGCGCCATATAGCTGTGCTCAAGGAATCTCTGTGTGCCAAAGAAGAGCACTACAATATGCTTCAGGCTGATGTAAGTAATAAAAAAAAAATATTAGTCTCAGCTGATAGTTAACTTGCATAAACAATCATTAAAATTTCTTTTGCATTGACACATTTATGTCAACTAACGAACGGAGACGTAACATTTGCTTAACTTTTTATCATCTCCCCTGTATATTTACTCATGCTAGACCTCATCTCCGCCCTTATATTTATGCATTATAGTCATCATCTCCACTATTATATATATGCCAAATGTCTCGCACACTATTTAAGTGCCTTACACCTGGTTTGTTATGGTCAAAGCATTGCTATGGTAATGGAAAAAATGGGGTTAAATGTGTTTGAATCAGGTTTAATAAAAAAAAAAAAGGAGATGTTTTTATATTGGCATAACATATGGATGATAAAATCATGAAAGAAAGAAAAAATCATGAAGTTTATTACTGGAATATATATTTCAGCAGATAAGAACTGAAGTTTTTTTTCCCCTGGTAATAATAGTTTTAATGTAAGAAAAATTTCAACTATTAATGAATTGACTGTTGTTTTTTGTTTTTTTTATTGCTCTAACAAAAGACGAGTACATTAATAAATTATCTATAAGGCTGAATAAATTTTCTTGTTTGTAAATTCATTTCTTTATTGATTTAACTTCATTTATTTGCTTTTTGTTATTTTTTGTTACTTCTCTTTTCTGCTTCTATCATCTCTTATTTTTAGATTTTTTGTTGGGTTGAATTAATTGTTCATTAACTTTAGTTGAATTATATTTTGGGCTTATGTATTTGTTCACACTAAGTTATACTTTAAATTATTCTTACATGAAATGTATACTGTATTTTTATTGTTCTATTTCATTGTTAGAAACTTATACATATACCTTACATAAGAGCAAGAAGGGCAATACATATAAGTTATAACACAGCTGTTTGAAATATGTACTGCAATGTAAAGACTAGTCCTGAAACTGATACTGAAACCAAATCAGACAAAAGTTAAAAATTCTTCTTTCAGTGACAAAACAGAAGGATAATTATATTTTCAACAATATTGTATTTAATGTTGTAGCTATAGTACTTATATCAGAGTGAATAGACATGTTATTTACCAATGAAGAAGAAAACTTTACCTATCTAAAGTGCTAGGGGTTTTCATTATATTATTTTTGTGCTTTGTTTTTGATGTCATAAAGACATAGTTAGGTAGATAAATAAATTAATATTTTTCTCCAATATAGTAAAATATTCTATTTGTGCAGGTAGAAGAACTAAGAATGAAACTGGATGAGAAAAACCAGATAATAGAAAAGAAAACCCAGCAGACTACATTAAGCACACAAGAAAAGAACAAATTAACACATGAAAATCAGGAGCTAAGGGATCACATGGAGATTAAAGACAGGAAAATAAATGTTTTACAAAGAAAGGTAGAATTTGGTTCACATTAATTTTCTGCACAGATAAAGCTTTTTTGTGTGGTAGAAAACCATATTGTTACTAATGAAAACAGTTCTGATTTGCAGCATAAAGTTAATGAGATTATTGTAGAAAAACAAACATTTTTAACTACTGCCAGTCTTCTTATCACTGTCATTCTGTCTTGTAGATATTTTTGGAAAAATTTTGTTAACTTCTTTTGTAGTGGCATTACTCTCTCTCTCTCTCTCTCTATATATATATATATATATATATATATATATATATACAAAGATTGAGTAAATGTATTAAAATGGTTTTGGAGCCTCACCACTATTCTACGTTCCATGTTACCACATACCATTATGCTGTATCTTTCATGTTAAAAGCACACTCCTTCTTCTTGCAGGATTTCCATAAGCCATCTAGTGTACAATGGTGGCAGTTCCCAGCATCCATTTTAACAGTCAGTCATACAGAAATCCATAGGTACTGTTTCTGGTGGCTTGACCAGCATGTCTTCATACAGAATAGCATAAGTGCCAATTTGATTTCCAGCTGCTTGAGCTATGCAACAGATACATAAAACAGATACGTCATAGAAGCAACTTGTTTACATGTTACTTGTGTCACTTTTCCAGGTGAAGACCCTTCTGTGTACTGTTGCCTAGGGCATATGGATGGATCTTGCAACTGGTCTTTGTGTTTATGGATAATAATTTGTTATAAGATGCCACACTTTGCCTACCATTACTGAGGTGTGACTTGTTGCAAGTCTCTTTCTAGATAGTCCTGGTGTCCCAAATTGATCCATATTATTTTGTTTTCCACTGATATAAAGTGCAAATGATATCCCCATCTTAGAGATTCTAAATCCTTGATCGTAATATTTTGTATTTGAAAAGTCTGTTATATGTCCTTCCCAAAAGCAATCACACTATCTACAAATTGCCAGACAAAGCCAAAGGGTAGTTATGATAGATGCCATTCCACCACAATTTTATATTGGCTGCAACTGTAACATTACTTGTTGATTTTCATATTTATAGTTGTTTTAATGTACCATACTTGCCTTTATGTATTTATATCATAGAAACACCACAGACTATAAAAGTCCAGTCTTGTATGACTGAAAGTAAAATAGTGAGTGGTATATCCAATGGCTCAAATAGAAAATGTGTAGATCATTAGCATGTATAATATTACAATTCTTAGTAAAATATCAGCATTTAACAAACTATTAAGCACCAATTTTTTTATTGTTGTTGTTGATATTTTGTTTCTAGATATTTTATTTTTAGAATGGGAATCTTTTAGAATCTGTATCAGTAAATCATAAATGGTGAGTGATGTATGGTAAACTTAAACAGAACTGAGAAATGAATAAAATTTTTGGTTTAGATATATATATTATATGCTCTGATTGTTAATGAAATTTGACATTAAAATCAGGTATGACATACAGGATATACATAAGTAATTGAAGTTTTAGTTTATTTAATTAATAAATTGAGTTTTCAAATGTCAAACTGACAATTTATAATAGAATCTGAACTCAGTAAACTATATGATTTTAAGTTTATATAGGAGGACTTTTAACTTAATTTTTCTTCAAGCTAGATTGAAAACCTTGAGGATTTGCTAAGAGAAAAGGATAACCAAGTTGACATGGCAAGGGCTAGATTAACAGCCTTACAGGCTCATCACTCATCATCTGAAGGAGCAGTTTCCAGTCTGGAAGAAGCTATCAGTGATAAAGAAAAACAAATAAATCAACTTCGGGAACAAAGAGACCGTGCAGAACAAGAAAGAAATGAAGAAAGGGAACTTCATGAGCGAGAGATAGCTGAGTACAAGATGAAGATGCATGCATTAGAGAGTGAAATGGAGAAAATACAGGTGAGGTTAGAAAAAACAGCTTCTGAAAAAGATAGGGTTGAAGTCAGGCTTGAAAATTCTCAATCTGAGCTTGGGCAGGCTAGGGCTGAGCTTGATAAACTTCAGCTTGAAATGAACCGAACACATTCTAGTTGGGAGAGAGGAAGAGGTGAAAGCTCTCGTTTGGCTTTGGAGAATGAACGTTTACGTGAACAACTTAATAAATTAAAGGTAGAATTAAATAGATCAGAAGAAACATATGGATTGAAATCCCAACGTTACCAGTCAAATGAGGTAGAAATGTTACAGGAAAAATTGGATAAAGTCCAATGTGACCTTAGAAGAGCTCAAGCTGAGCTTCGAATGAATCAAGCAGAGCAAGATCGATCAAGAGGGGAAGTTGAACAGCTTCAAGAGAGAGTTGAAAGATCTCAGGGGGAGATTTATAGACTCAAAGCTAAGCTAGAAAATGCTCAGTCAGAGAGAGAGAGTATACAAGAGGAATATGACAGATTGCAGAACTCCATTGCTCGGGCTCAAGTTGAAAGAGATAATGCTTTAACAGAATCAGATAAATTACGAGGTGAACTGGAAAGGGTTCAAATAGCTCTGAGTAAATTAGAAGGGCTTCAGGAGAAAACTCAATCTGCTTTAGATAAGTCACTGCTAGAGTCTGATAAGCTCCAGGATGAACTGGACAAAGTCAGTAGTAATGTGACAATTATTCAAGCAGAAAGAGAGCAAACTCAGAGTGAGCTGGATAGCATCAAGCTAGAAATGCAACAGACCAAAAATGAAATTGAAAAATTACAGAGGGAAAAAGAATCAACTCAACAGGAAACTGAAAAATTGAAAGAAAAATATGAAAAAGCACAAGTTCGTTATCAGCATTTACAAAGAGAGAAGGATTCTTGCCATAATGAAATAGAAAAATTGCAACAGAAGACTGATCTTCTTCAGGCTCAGTTGGTTAAAATCCAGAAAGAAAAAGAAAATTGTCAAACTGAATACGAAGTTGTTAAGGAAAGACTTGAAAAAACTCAAAATCAAATAGAAAGGAACCAAACAGAAAATGAAGGTTTCAATAACGAAATAAAAATGCTGAGAGAAAAACATGATCAACTGAAGGAACAACTGGAAAGAGTACAAGACAGTCGAGATCTTTGCCGTGCTGAAAATAAGAAAATTCAAGACAAGTTAGATAAAAGTCAGTCTGAGGTATATCAGTTGGACTCAAGACTAGAACAAGCACAGGTTGAAGTGGAAAGATTAACTTTAGAACTAGAAAAAGCAAAAACCACAGCCATCCAAACTAAAGATGACCATAAACGGTCTCAACAAGACTATGAGGCTCTTCAAGAAAACTACAATAGAGCAAACGCTCAGCTGCACAGAGCTAAAGAATCAGAAGAAAAACTGAGAAGTAAGCTTGATCATTGTCAGCTTGACCTGGAAGTCTTGCAAGATAGGTATAATAAATCCCAAGCAGATCTACGTAAAGTTCAGTATGAGAGAGAGAGTTTACAAGCAGATGTCGATCATATGTATGTAGACCTTGATAAATCTAAAACTCAAGCAGGAAGAACACTAAACTCACATGAAGAGGAAGTATTGAAGTTACAAACCAATTTAGAGAAAATGTATGAAAAAATAGAAAGGCTCCAAACTGAGCTTCGAAGAACCCAAAATGAAAAAGGTCAGCTAGAATCTCAAAGAGATAATATGGAAATTGAAATAGGGCAATATCAGACACAGATTTCCAAATATCGGGATGCTCACGAAAAATCACATTCAGAATTGGAAGTTAATCAGGCAGATATAGAAAAATTGAAAAATAAATATGACAAAGCTTTAATGGACCTTGATCAAGTTTATGAAGAAAAAAATAAACTGGTTTTAGAAATTCAAAACTTGCAGGATGAAGTTAGCAAACTGCGTGATGGAAATAAAGAGGTGGAGAAAAGCAAACAGCATCAAGACTATGATAAAATAAGCTATGAATTGGAGAAAGTTAAACAACAATACCAGTTTAGAGAAACTGATGTTTGGAAACTTGAAGGTCAAAATCAGAAACATGTAAAAGAAATTGAGAAACTTCAAAAAGATCTTGAAACTGCTCAAGAAAAAATTCATAGGTATAGGTTGTATGATGACAATAAAAAACAAAATTTTGACCAACTGATAGAAGACAATCAAAAGTTGAAGGAGAATGTAGAACAACTTGAAATAGAGTTGGAAAGAATAAAAAGAGAAAGAGACAGACTTAAGTCAGAAGTTGAAATGATCCAAGAGAAACTTGATTTATTTGCATCACGTGAAAAGAAGCAAAAGCTCCAAAATGAGCGACTAGCAACAGAAAAGGATAGCCTCCAGGAGATTTGTGACCATATACAAAAAGAACTCGAAAGAACAAAAAAAGATAGAGACCGATTAGAAGTTGATATGGAGTTACTGCAGACAAGGTTCGATAAGCATACATCACGAGATGGTGATCATAAGCAAGAAATGGATAGGTTGATGATTAGCAATCAGCAAGTGACTGAAAAGCATGATAAGCTACTGTATGAACTTGAAAGGGTCCAACTAGACCGAAACAGAAAGCTTAAAGAAATAGAATCTTTTCAGGAAAAACTTACTAGCTGTATTTCCAGAGACAAAGAGCAACAGCAAGAAATTGAAAGAATTTCTGTGGAAAACAAAAGACTTAAGAAAAGCTTAGATGATATTCATACTGAAATGGAAAATCTACAAAGAGAAAAAATTAGAAAACAAAGAGAGTTGGACTCAGCACAGGTAAGGCTTGAAAATTATGCTTTGAGTAAAGGTGATCAGGGAAGAGGTATTGAGAATGTTGTAACTGAAAATCAAAGACTGAAGTTAAACATAGATGAATTGCAAATTGATTTAGAAAAGGAAAGAAGAGAGAGAGATAAAAAACACAGAGAAATTGGAGTAATTCAAGATAAACTGAACAGTTATGTATTGATGAATGATGAACAAGCAAATGAAATCCAAAAGCTTATAGCAGAAAATAAAAAACTAAAAATTGATCAAGATGAGTTGAGTTTACAATTGGAAAAAGCATTAAGAGAAAAAGGCAGAAAGCATGGAGAATTTGAGTCATTTAAAGAAAAGCTTGACAGTTATGGTTTAAGTAAGGATGAGCAAAAAGAGGAAATTGGAAGATTAATTTCAGAAAATGAAAGGCTTAAAATAGAATTAGATGAACGAAATAATGATTTCAAAAGATTGCAGAAGGAAAAAGAAAAAAAGCACCAAGATCTTATGTTAGTACAAGAGAAACTTCACAGATCTACTTCAGTTGAAAATAACCACAAAATGGAAATTGAAACACTTGTCACAAATTTGGATGAAGTAAAATCTAAATTAGATGAGACTTGCAGAGAGCGAAACAAATTGAAGACAGAATTAGACTCTTTTAAGACTAAACTTGAAAAGTACACTGCATTAGAAGGTAAGAGCGAACAGGAACTGTACAAAATGCTCAACGATAATAAAGAACTTTCTCAAAAAGTTAAACAACTTGAAATGGAACTGAATAATTTAAGAGTAGATACAGAGAAGAAGCAGGTTGAATTAGATGCTGAACAGGAAAGAATTAGGAACTATGTATCTTCCGAACATAAACAAAGGGATGAATTTGAGAAATTAAAGACCGATAACCAACAGTTGGCAGAAAAAGTGGAGAGACTTTGTATAGATTTAGAAAACATAACAGAAGATAGAGATAAAAAACAAACAGAACTTGAATTGTTTAAACATAAATATGATAAACAAATTTTATTAACAGATGAACTGAAACAGGAGAAAAACAATTTATTAACAGATAATAAAACTTTACAGGAAAATGTAAGTCATCTTCATACAGATTTAGAGAAAATACAAAGAGAAAAAAAAATCTCTGCAGAGAGAGCTACAAGATCTTCAAGCTGCTTTAGATCGTACACAAGCACAACTAGAGAGACTTTATGCTAACCAAGAGCAGTCACTTCAGCACACAACCAATGAAACTGAAGAGCTAAAGCAGCTTGTGAGCAAGTATGGATCAGAAATTGAGCAAACTAAGTCTAACAATTATCGTTTACAGAAAGAAGTTTCTCAGCTAAAAAAAGATGCAGAAGATGCTAACAAGTATATTGCCAGTCTACAAGAAACCCAAAAAAACGATAAAAGTGCATTGGAACACTTACAGGCAGAAAATAAGTTGATAGAAAAAAACTTTGAAAAATCACAGAAAGAGTTACAACTAATCAAGATGGAAAAAGACAGATTAAATGAAGAGACTCTTGTGTATGAAAATGAGCTTCAGAAATACAGAGAAGAGGTAGAAGAAAACCAAGATATTTGGGCAAGGTCAAAAACAGAGCTTGAAAAGTTACAATATGAATTCCAAAAACTAGAGAAAAAATGTGAGAAAACAGAAGCAGATAATAAAGAGCTTCAAGAAAAATTAAATGTAGCTCTTCTGACAATAGATAAAAACCAACAGCAGTTACAACAGACTAATGAAGATCTCCAAAGCACAAAAAAAGAAAAAGAACAGTTAAAACAGTTTCTGGCTCAAAACAAACAAATCATAGAAACAAGTTTTCAAGAAGAACGACAAAACATTGAGAGAGAGTTTGAAAGACTACATTCAGAACTGCATAATCGTGAAGCAGATATTGAGAAAGCAAATGAAGAGGTGCAAAAATATAAGAAACTTCTAGCAAACTCTCAAGAAGAAAGCAATAAACAAAAATATCAAACTCATAAAGAAGTAGAAAAACTTCAGACAGAGGTGGAGAACTATAAATCTGAAGTACAAAGAGCACATGAAGAAATTCAGGATTATCAGAAACACTTTGCAAAAATTGAAGAAGATGTCAAAAGACAGAGTGCAAGCAAACAAGAAGCTGAAAAACAGATGGAGAGTTTTATACAAGAAGTAGAAAAGTACAAGAATGAAGTACGAAAAGCTAAAGAAGAAACACAAAAATACCAAATGCAAGTGACAAAATTACAAGAAGAGGCTGGAAACCAAAGTGTTTTGAGACAGCAAACTGACAGAGAAATGGAGAGAATGAAACTTGAAGTTGAAAATCATAAGGCAGAGGTTCAAAGAGTTAATGAAGATATCCAGAAATACCAACAACAATTAGTTAAGGTACAAGAAGAAAAAAATTTGCAAATACAACAGAAAGATTTAGAACTAAAGTCCATGCAGGAGGAAATTGCAACAAAGAAAGAAGAAGCAAATAAAGCTAATGAAGAAATTCAAAAATATAAAAAAGAACTAGCAAAGCTACAAGGGAAGTTAGCAACAAGTCAGACTGCTGATCAAAATCAACCCATGGAAATCGAAAATCTTTATCGAGATTTTGAAAAACAAAAAACTGAAAATTCAAAGTTACAAGAAGAAATAAAAAAGCTAAAAATACAATTTAGTAAAGCACAGGAAGAAACTAAGTCATTTGCTGTTGAAAGAGAAAGATTTCAGAATCAGTTGGAGAGATTGGTGCAAGAGCTGGAAAATAGGGAGGTTAGTGGACATTGCTCAAGCATTTGGAGTTCCCAACTCATGGTTTCAGTTTTGGTTCATTTTGCAGTAGAGCATTGCACTATTTTTTCAAGATCGTATTTCGTTTTTTCACTATTTTTGACTCTGTTTCTTAGTTTGCTGTTTCTGTTGTTCAATAATTATTTCTATGATTTTGATACATTTTTGTGCCTCCTCCTTTATGCACAGTTCTGTGATTTTGTATATTTTTTAATAGTGAGGAATAACTTTTCAGTTCAAATACAATGTGCATGACTTTAGTAAATGCAATTGTTTTGTTATAGTTTATTTCTTTTATGTTCAAGAAGGTAACAGGATTTTCTTGTGTTTTTTTATTGAACTTATTCATGTTTATGTTGTTAAGTACTTCATCATTAGAAAAAAATTCTTAAAAATCCTGAGAAATGAGAAAAAACATTTTATGCTTTTTGTTCATTAAGCCTGTTATTTTTTTACTGTTGCTATTAAGTATTAATTTAATAAAGAAACCTAAGAAGAACTTGTGTATCATATTTTAATGAGAATGTTTCAATTCAAATTTATTCTTGTTTTATTTATATAAAATAACTCATCCTTAGTTAGAAGTTCATTTTTGGAATACTGAATTACCATTTATTGTGAATTATATATATATCTTTCCAAATACTTGTACTAAGTAGCCATGACACACAGAGAAATGATTTAAAAATTAGAAAATAAACTTTAGTATGATTACTTTTAGTTATATAGAGTAAAACCCATTTTTTCACAGTGTAATCTGTAACATCACTTGTTTATTTGAATGTTAAGATATTTGCTTTAAAATCATGGTTTTCTTAATTATTACCATACTAAGAAACAAATAATCACACAAATCAAGTACAGTGATCTCAGTTTTCCTTTTCCATTTTACTGTTAATTTTAATCATCAATTTTAAATACATGCTTCTAGTAACATTAATATTCTTTTATTCATACTACAAATCATTATCAAGTATCTCAATAATTGTATTTCGTATATATAACCACTTTTTATCACTCTTGGTACAAAATACTATTAACCTTATGTTTTAGCAATCTGAATACATAACTTTTACAGTTTTCACTTTCAACTGTTTTAAAATAAATATCATTCTAAATCATTAAACTGTTAGTAAACTAAATGTACAACACTGCTAAGCTTCACCTTTTGTGATTTGTTTTATTTTTAGCTTTCTTAATTTTTTAAAAATGTTTAACAAAAAATATAAATTTTTACTTCTGATTACACTATTTATGTATTAATTTTTAAGAAGAAATTTTTTTCCTTCAAATATAAAACTAGCTATTGCCCATTTGCTTTTCTAATCAATATTTTAATAACACTAACATATATGGTGTTTTTTAATTTAATAATATAGAGCTGCTTAACTCTTCAAACCTATGTCTGGCCAAAAATCTCAATTTACCTGTTGGATGGTGACAGTGTCTTACAACATTTATGTCTCTTTAGCTGAAAACTAATCCAAACCATGTTATAATCCACCTTCTATAAATAGACTGGAAAGGTATGGTGATAATTATTAGGACATCATGAAAACAATTCCTGAAGAACATGCAAGAAATTACGGGTTTAAAAGAGTTGAATCTGAAAACCTTTGTGCTATTTTTCTGCTGTTTAAGTATTGTAATTCTGCTTATCATAAAATACACCTTTAGTGCAATATTTAATTCACATTTTACTTTGAATTGAGAGCATTTTATTTTCAAGAATATGAGTTAAAATTTAAAGTAAAATAAGTATATAGAGCAGAATAAAGACATTAAATAATTTGAAACCTTTGCAGGTACCTCTTTTTTGCAGTACGACAAATTGACAACCTTTGCCAACAACTCCCAAATTTGTAAATCTACCTTTCTGCTGATATTAAGTTGTGTAGTAGCTAGCAACTGGCCCCATAAAAGTATCTGAAAACACACATTAAAAGATTTCTCTAGTACCTGAAAAAGACCATTACATATAGCAAATATTTTAATTAGTTTTTTGAAATGAATGGGCACAAGCCTACTGAATGGACTAAACAATTAAGTACTTATTCAATGACTCCTGTTCTCCAGCACTTGATGCTTACCTATGTGAAGGATAATAAACCCCCAAAATGTTTAAAACTGCAAGGGATCATTTCAAGACATACCCCATAATTCCTCAAATCAACAAAGCCTTTTTTAGCTTTTTAACTGTGGCTTTAAAATATACATTGTTTCTTATAGATTTGTAGATGCTGTATTTAGTTCTTATTTATTTACATAAAAAAGTATCATAAAACTAACCACAAAAAAGTAATTATTTTATTCATTAGGCAGAACTTCAGACCTTACGGAACCAAAAAGGTGCTTCAAACAAAATCGGTTTGGTGCAGAGTACTGAAATGACAGCATTACAGAAACAACTGGAAGAAAAACAGAAAAATGTGGATATCTTGGAGAAGAAGCTAAAAAAACAGAAAGAAACACTAGCTTACATGGAACAAGAAAGAAAACAGGTGAGCTACCCACTTCTATATATATATATATAAATCACAAATATGTGTGTGTGTCTGTCCGTCTATTTGTCCATTATCTAACTACTCCTAGGCCAATCTTAACCAAGCTTTGAAGGATGATAGTTTGGAACAAGGGGCATACTAATTATTACTGTTATTGAGCATTTATTATCTTTGACGTAAGTTAATGTTAACTACATGCATAGATAGTGCCACATCCTTACACCAAAAACAAAAAAACTTTATTAAATTTTCTACAAAACAACAAACACACAATGTGGGGGAGGACACACAAACATCTAATATAACTTGGAGAGTGCACTAGCACTCTTTATGGAGGAAGCAGTGAAAAACAAAATGGCTGGCACCATTGCAATACTACATAGATTCAGAGGAAGTTTCTACTCCAACAGTCACCATGAGGCTGATATGAAGAGCCATTTTTGAGTTATACCCTCTTCTTACTTTGACCCATTACCTTTCAACTTTGGCCCATAAGACACTTCTGTGACCAATGACCGTCAATTAATTAATCACATGAAGCACTGTGGAAGGACATTAAGAGCTGGGTGTTGAAAGTGGGTAACAGAAAGCACCCCTACTGCCACTACTTTGGTACTACCTCTTCCTACTAAGTCACCCTAACCATCACACAGTGTATACCATGTTTTAAGTATATACATATTGAGTTCTTAAAGCTTATACAAAACTTTTGGTGGGGTAATAATGAATACTGTAATAATATGTTATGTTACACATAAATTATGTGAAAGTTAGGATTTTTGTGTTATTTATCATAGCACCCACCTCCACATTCTTTTTAAGTTCATAACCCAGACAGAGGACGGGTATCTCAGTTTGTGTAATATAATTCCAATTCAACCAATTGTTATGGTGTGAATGTCATTGCAATGCTAGTAAAGCATGATTATAATCAGTTATACCTGTCATAAGACATTAGTATTATGCCTATTTTATCTTTTAGATTGCATTCTTTATTCAGTCCAAATGGCTTTTCAAGATGAAGAAGAGTGTGTAATAATATTTCAACCACACTACGTCTGCCTCATCATTCTTGAAAATACATTTTTCTCAATACAGAGATCATCAGGCTGGCTGGGACATTTAAGCTATTTGTTTTATGGTGTGAACATGATTTCTAAGCTGACAAAGCACGATTATAGTTGATTATACTTCTCACAAGATATTAGTATTAGGACATAATAGTTGTTCTAACAAATGGCTTATATAAATAATGTTCTGACCATTACCATGTGTGTGTTGTGTCCCAACTTGCATGATGAGCTCTGTATTGAGTGAAACATCACCAGTAATGAAATTGGTGGGCTTAGTATGGTTGAAATACTATTATACACTTCTTCTTTTTGAAAAACCATAAGAGACTAAATAAAGAATGCAGAGTTTAAAATATTGTAGTTCTAATACAAATGTCTTAAGATAAGTATAATTAATGTAATATAATTGTTGTTTTTTTGTTTCTTTCTAAAACTTATCTAGTCTAGCTCTGTTTCTCTTAATTATTTAATGATGTAATATTCCCTATATATATTTTTCACTATTCAGGACATACTTTGTATTGTACTGTCTTACTAGTTTATACAATACTTGCAAGAGTAGATCCAGGATTCCTTAAGGGGAGGGGGGTCCATGAATTTTAATTAAGCACCTCCAGGGATATTAGAGGATGGCCAAAGAATATCCTACCTTCTAGTAGCACACTCACACAGGCTACAGGTGGGGGAGACTCATCTTTGGATTTATCGGCTATCATTCGCTGTGAGATTGATCGTTATAGAATCAACCTGCTTCTCTTGATCTTGCCTCTTTTCCTCCTAAATATGCCAAACCTGTTCAGGTCAGTGAGGATTTTGACAGCCTTTTACTGCCACCTGATTTTGCCGTGTCTTCCTATGCAAAATCAACTAGGCCTAGTATACAACTTTTTTTTAGACATAACTTCTCAGGTATATTCTATTTTATCCATTTCCCCAAATTCATATGATCCCCATCCTTTTATGTTACATGATACCTACTCCTCTCAGTATTTGGTTTTCCCCTCTTCCCTGGATATTAGGGTCCATGCTAAGTTTTTTTGTTTCTCAGATGGTTTGGGGTGCCAACATGTCTCACCATCCATAGGCTTCGGATCAGTTTGCATTGGCCTGCCATCAGGCTGAATGTCTGTTTCTTGACTATCAACAGATAGAATTGATTTTGCCTATTTGGGGGCTGAATCCTAATCATACTGTTTGTTTATCCCATGCCTAATTTTCATGCCTTCAGCTTACCCTATAGACTCTCTTACAGTACTTGTATACTATCCGCCTCCTTTTCAAGACAATCCACAGAGATCTTGAGGGATTGTCTCTCCCTGATTACCTCCACATTGGCACGTTTGCTTTCTTTGGCTCTAGCATTACACACATGGTTTCTCTGTTGTTAGGATCTCCTGGACTTACATATGGCCCCTTTTCTTCAGCAGTATGTTTTTAGTAATATTCTGAGACTTTGGAATCCTGTGTGGAGTTTGTGCGACAGGATACTACCCTTTCTCCTTTGGTGGATTGTTTGTCACATTCTGAGCCTAGACATGCCACTATTACCATTTCCCATCCAGTTTCTTCTCAGCCTATACATGTTCCTTCCTCCAGAGGTTCCTCATTTCATCATTTTATTCGATAGAGATGGACACTTCACCAACAGTACGGGTGACTACCCAGTGGGTTCCAGTCTGGTGGGGGCTCACTTGTCCGATTTTGTTCCTCTTTGGTGACATTTCACCACAGATCTGTGGGTTATTTGGGTTTTACCCAAGGGACTTGTCATACAGTTTCTTTCCCCTACTCCGTTATTTCAGATACCCATTTCCTTTCCATTACTTTGGAATTTTACCACCAGTCAGCATCTGTCCAAGGTGGTACAACATCTTCTCTCCCAACGGGCTGTCTAACCTGTCAGTCATCCTTCTCATAGTTTTTATTTCAGGCTGTTTGTAATACCCAAGAAAACGAGACTGGCTTCCTGTGATTGATTTGTTCTGCCTCAATCAATTTTTGGTTCTTCCCTCAGTTGAGCTTTTTCTTCAAGATGACCAAGGTAGACATTGCAAATGCTTATCTGCATATCACAATATCTCAACAGTCGAGATGCTGTCTTCAGTTTGTACATCACAGGGTAGCTTATCAATTTTAGGCTAGCTTCAGCCCCATATGTCTTTTGTCAGGTGATCAAGGCATTCACCCAACATATACATGCTCAAGGGTTGCACTTCCATCATTACATGGACAACTGGCTTCTGTTAGCTTGTTCTGAACAGGAGCCCACCCATCACACCCATTGGCTGCTCCTGGAGGCAGCTCATGTGGGCTGGTTAATCAAATTGGAGAAGACATTCCTTATATCTACTTAAGATCTTGTCCATTTGGGTGGTTTTTTTGACACTCATCTCAGTCAGGCCCAACCTTCTCTTTGACTTCGTTTGATGGAGTATTCAGTTCTCCACGCCCTAACTGCTCCCTCTCTTACAGCTTGCTAGGTTTTATCACTTTTGGGGATGTGGTCTTCCATGAAAGCCCTTATCCTCTTGGGTCAAGCACATATGCGATCTCTTCAGTGGACTTTGTACAACCAATGGAATCTTGTGCGGGTTCCATTGGAGGCTCAAATTTCCCTTCCTCCTTCCCTTGTAGACGATCTGCATTGGAAGTTTGACAAGGCTCACATGTTGGCAGGTGTTCTGCTTCTTCCCCCTCGTCTGGGCTTGCACATCTTAACAGACGCTTCAGGTTGGTGATCTGTGACCAAAAGATCTTACCATATCAACATCCTGGAGCTTCTGGCTGTACATCGTGCCTTGGATCATTTTCTTCATCTTGCCAGGAATCGTATGGTCATGATCCATACTGACAATTCTACAGTGGTGACTTATCTCAATCAACAAGGTGGTACCCGTTCTCTTTCCCCATTGTGGTCAGACCTTGGATATTTTGTTTAAGGACCCACATGCTTGGTATTCATATCATTGCATGTCATGTTCCAGGTGCATTCAATCTTGTTGCAGATTACTTCTGTTTTGGTGTGTGGTTTCTCATACTCTTTCTCAGTCTGTCAATTCTTTCACTCAAGATTGGACCAACAAATACCTGTATGTTTATCCTCCCATCCGTCTTCTTCACAGGGTGATCTCGATTACTCATGGCACTTCGTGTCAAGTCCTTCTGATTGCTCTTTACTGGCTGGCACAACTGTGGTTCCCATGGCTGCTTCAAGACCAATATTACATCTTTGTTACCTCTTCCTACTCCATTCCTTCTACGTCAACGTTGGTCACCGGCATTTCATACAGCATTTACTGTCCTTCATCTTCATGTCTGGTTTTTATCCCGACCCGTGCAAGGAGATTCGGTTTGTCTTAAAGGGTAGTTTCTTCTTTTTTAGCTTGTTCAAATCGCCCTTCCTCTAGGGATATTTATCAACATAAGTAGAACGTTTTTCGCCATTGGTCTTTGGGTCAGGAGTTTTCACCCACTAGACCCATGGTTCCTCATATTATGGATTTCCTCACTTGGCTTTTTGATCAGTGGTCTTCTGTCACTTTTGATCACAGGTTATCGGGCTGCCTTATCCCACACTTTTCGTTTTTCCCAGTACCTTAAAGTTTTACCTATCCCACCCTTTCCCTCATGTTTCATTCCACCTTGGTGTGCTGTCCTTATGGATTGGGATGTTAATGTGGTTCTTCACTGCCTCAGTTTGAACCACTGTTCTCACGCTTGATTTTCGACTTATCCCTTAAGATTTATTTCCTTCTCCTCCTAGCCTGTGGACATCATAGGTCAAATTTATTTGCCATTGACATTTCACATACTCTATATCATTCCATATATATTCACTTTTAACCAAATCAATCTTTCCTCCCCAAAACTTCAGCAGCTTGGAAGAGTAATTTCTCCTTCTTGCCAATTTCCTTTCCTTCCATTTCCCACCTTTATCCTCGGTCAGATATGGATAGGCTACTATGTCTTGTCCGTGCTCTTGTGGACTAACTGATTTTCAAAAAAAAGGAATTCTTTTTATTTAGTGGTTAGACCAGAGGTTACATCTCATGTGACTTGCTATTACCATAAATCTACATAATCTTTCACAACATTAATATCTGTATGTCACTGCAAGTGGCAGCTTGTGTCAGTTTTATAATAGATACATACTCAAAATAGAAGGTGAGTTAATGCTTTAATGTAACTAGAAATTCATCGTTGAACTAAATGATAGGAAGAATAAATGATAAATTAAATAAGATGAAAACATTTTGGGGAAGATATCACAGATTAGATGTAGTATGAACTGTATGTACTTTCAAGAAAATTAGAGAATTAGGCTTTATGAATTCTTGTTTCCTCTATGTTTTATTACTCACTTTCACATTTTGAGTGGGAAAGGTTCTTTGTTTGTATATACAGGCTGACAAAAATTCATTTTTTGACACAAAATTATTCTGGCCTTAAGTAAAAAAATACTATTAGAAAAATTAGGCTTGATGAATTCTTGTTTTCTCTATGTTTTATCATTTATGAAGCACGTGGGGTGGAGGTTTTTTGCACAAACAGGTTGACCAACTTTCATTTTTCACACTAATTTATTTTTATCTGACATACTAAAATTAGAGAATAATCAAGTCTTAGTATACAGTTTTAAAATTTACATCTTTTGTCTTGTACACTGCAATGGAAAACTGTTTATGTTTGAGAAGACATTAGAAAGCGTGTTATTTTGTGATTTAGGACTTAAATAAGATAGTCATTGGTATTAACAAGTAAATAACTCTTGTGTAATATAGAATAATGGAAGAAATATAATAATGTTCAAAATTGATTGCTTAATTCTAAGATTAGGAGAAATATTATAAAGTTCTTAAAACTGAATTTGACAGAACTGAATTTAAGAATTTTTAAAAGTAAGATAGATACTACAGATAGAAAACGTTTTATACAGAAAGAGAGCGAATGAAGGAGTTAAAGTGTGATTTAGTTTTGACAAATCAAATATCTTAAAATTTAGGCAGAATTGGGCCAGCATGAATCTTTAACCAAAGAAATTACTGAGCTACGTCAAAAAAATTCTATGCTAGAAAAACTCAGAATGGAAAGTCAGAAAGAAGTGGGAAAATTCAAAGAAGAAGCTAAACACTCATCCACAGAACTAGAAAGACTGTTACAAATCATGTCCAACATGGAGGAGGAGAAATTTGCCCTAAATAAGCAGATACAAGATTTACAGAAGTAAGTGTAGTTTAATGATCATGAAAAAAGAAGTTGTAATTACAGGTTGATTAAAAAATCCTACAAAATAGATGTGGGTTATGTAACTAATGAATAACAATTCACCTTTGTTAGTCTCTTTTGATCTAAAATGATAGTTTATTTTTCAGCCTAGTAAAATATTAGTATGTCCTTTGTCAATAAACTTTAGAACTATTCACACTCTTTTAATAAGGGAGAGATTAAATTAAAACATAAGATCAGAATGATTAAGCATTTTTTTACACATATTTTTGTGTAACAAGTTTCAAGCTATGTATTTTTTTTAAATAAAAGTAAAACTAAAAATATTTATTAATGTTTATCATAAGAAAGCCATGATAGAAGCATCAAACAAATTGCTCATTAAAATTTAGTTAGTTGCTAGTTTATTTTATTTTCTTATTATTACTATATGACAATAGTAAATTCTGTTAAGAAATTATCTTATAATTTATTTAGTTTCTTAAATATAATATTGAGATTAGAATTAGTGTTATGAATATGTTAAAATGTAGTTATGGAGTTAGGATATGTGGACTGAATTCATACAGACTAAAAACTTTAACATTAAAGTGTGAAGTTGGACAAACTAAGTTGTTTCTATGATTGTATATTCAGCTGATTCAGTCTTAGGTAAAGACATGAATTCATATCACCGTAAGCTTCTTGAACTGTACTATCTAGCAATATAATTAGAATCAAAACTTTGTTGAAAAAATAATAATAAACCTAACAGCCCAGCCAGACACACTGACAATGTACATTTGTATTTATTTATAAATAAGTTATTATTAAAACACACAAGTTCTATCTGCTGATATAAATAAGAAAACACTGCAATCCTCAAATTCTTCCATTTTTTCTCTTCATTATTATTTTTTACTGGTTTCATGAATTAAAAGGTCACTCTTCAGGATATAATTTTACAAATAATCTATAAATAAAAAAACTAGTTGAAAAGTGGATTTAAACATTTTTGTTGTTGACTGTCTGCAAAAATTACATCCTGAAGAGTGACCTTTGAAGTAACAAAACTGAATGAAAATAATAAAGAGAAATTCAAGGAGTGTAGTGTTTTGTTAAATAAGTTCTTATATACATAGTCTTAATTTGAAGCCCCAGTTTTCTTTCTTCAATTATTACCTTGTACTTTTGGCATAAGTTTACATGTCACACAGGTGTGTCTAGCTACAATGCTGATTCAATAGACCCTTAACTAACAGTAAACTTAACTAGAATAGGTAATGTATATTTCCAAATATTTTTGAGTTATTGGTAGATCAATTGAATAAATTAAATATGAAATAGAACTTGTAAAGTCAGTTTTTATGACCTTTTTTGCAGAAAAATCTATAGTTAAAAGTTAATTTTTTGAACTTTGAATTTACATTATAAAGCTGTATCATATTCTTTGTATTTCAAGTTTGTCTTTCTTAGTGAAAAAAAATGTTAAAATTAAATGCAGCATAATTTGATGATGTAGTTATAGTTCTTCAAGCCAGTAGTTCCATAAACTTTACAAGTGTATGAAATGTTTGCTTAGATGCAAACTTTTTGATTTTTAATAGAGCAGTTAATAATTGCAAACATAGATACAGGCATTAGTACAGCTTTCAAAAGGCAATGTACATTGATTGCTCTGATTTTTATTTTGTATGATATGGAACTTTATAGAATTTGAAGGAATATTAATTGCCTCATTTGTATTCTCTGTTGTTTCTGTGTAGTTCTTTGAAGGAAAAAGAATCTAAGCTCAACAATATTAAAAGAAGTCAGCAAACAGAGAAGACGAAAAGTGCACAGCTGTTAGAGGAAGCTCGTCTTCGGGAGGGTGAGCATGGTAAAGAATCAGCTAAAGCACAGGTAAGCATATTTTTTGCATTGACTTTCAAAATATTTTCCTTTCGTACTCCATGTTGCATGCTGGTAGTAGTGCAGCTAAACACTTAAAC